TGTGTGTGTGTGTGTGTGTGTGTGTGTGTGTGTGTGTGTGTGTGTGTTAGGAGACTTGGCTTTGGATAATAACAGCACAGTCACCATAAATTAGTGGAAAGGCGCGGAGCTCAGGGAAGTCCTCAGGGAGGCTTCATTCAGAAATCAACTCGGGACCCCTTTTCTGCTTCTCTACTTTGTCCTCGATGGCTCATCCCTTCTGTTGGTCTCTTCAGGAGACTGAGGAGGCTTCTTTGTACATACCCCACTGGGACAAGAGAGAGGCTTTGTCCCACACTCTTAGACAGAGCCCGGCTTCCTTACATTATGCGCGCCACATCTTGAGCCAGCCTGGGGTGTGGAGCTGGCTGGTTTAGCACAGGCTACGGTGTTCCACCTCAGGGAGGAGGGGAGAGTAGAGCACACGACCTAAAGGAAGCCAATAGACATTCTCCAGAATCGCTTGGTTCTTCAACTCGACAATGTTGGACACATATAAAAACCTTTTAAATAGAAACCATTCTTCCTTTACATACTTAAGCATATTAAGTCCTCACAAGAATGCCCCTAAAGAGGCCGGCATTGTTGTGACTTCCATTTTGTGATGAGGAGATGGAAGGTGAAGGAATAGGAGTGATTTTTTTTTTTTCAAATTCATCAGGCCAGCCTCACAGAGGCAGCCAGCCTTAGCCACAGTCAGCCGGGAGCCCAGCTAAGCCAGACAAGGTTTCTACTCTAAGCTCCTTCACTGCTGGGGGACTGCTGTGGTTTGAATGATTCTGACTCCAAAATCCCTGTCAAAACCCAAGCCCCTAGTGTAGTGTGTGGCTAGCCTCCTAGTGTGGCCCCTTGGGGCCCCCCTTCAAAAGGTCTGCTGGAGCTCACTCACTCACTGCTTTCTGTCATCCTGCCATGGGCAGACAGGGCTTGTCAGGTCCGCATGAAGACGCAGGTAGAGGTATTGTTTAGAGGCAGAGTTGTAACCCTTAAAGACAGCTAACTGGCTGGCACCTTTTTCTTGGCCATCCCAGCTTCTAGACTTCAAGAACTAAATGCTTGTTTATATAAGTTATGGAGTTCGAAACATTTTGTTTCAACAGTTTGAAACAAAAGACAGGTAAGCTGTCCAGAATCAAGTCCCAGGTTCTTTTCAGCTCAGAGCTCTCCGCTTGGCCTCCTTGCCTGCCGTCTCTAGAAACAGGAAGGAAAAAAATCAGCCTTTGCCTTCAACACATTTCTTTGAGATCTACTCCGCTGACATTCAAGTTCATGACTTAGTGTTTCCCATAAACCTGGTCTTGATTTTCTTCAAGCTCTGTCTCTCTATAAAAAGATTCCCCCGCCTCGGTTCCCAGTAACAGGACCCTCACCACCAGCCCTTGACCTTGTTTGTTTCTGAGTTCTCACTTCTAGTTCTGTAACAACTTAGATACATTCTGAGGTCATTTGCATCTTTGCTGCCATCTTCTAGCAGTTTAAAAGCGTGCGAGTGTGTGCTCACAGGTGCACAGAGGTCAGAGGATAACTTGCAGGAGCTGGTTCTTTCCTCCCACCATGAAAGTCCTGGTGAGCTAACAGGATGTTATGGCTGGCTGGTTCCCTTAACTGCTGAGCTATCTCCTGTCTCATCTTCTACCTTCTAAAGCCACCCATGATGACGCTGAGTCCCTAGACTGCTCAGAACAGTTTCCTTGTCTGGAAGACAGCTGACTAGCAAACTTAATGTCATCTGTAGCTGCGGCTCTCTTTTGAGACAAAACTTAAAGGAGCCCAGGAATAGAATGCAAACATCTTAGGATAGCATTAATTTGTTTTTCACATGCCTCCTGGCCAAAGCTAACCTCAGAAGAGGCCTTCTGTCTTATGAAAGAATTTTTTTTTTCTTAATATGTGAGTGTATGAGTCCTCTATCTGCATGTGTGCCAGCAGGCCAGAAGATGGCACCAGATCTTATTACAGATGGTTATGAGCCACCATGTGGGTGCTGGGAATTGAACTCAGAACCCCTGGAAGAGCAGACAGTGCTCTTAACCTCTGAGTCATCTCTCCAGCCTCTTATCAAGGAACTCTTGTCCCCAAGTCCAGCATGCTGGAGAGCAAACCTGGCTTGAGGCTCTGCGACACCATTTCCTCCTCTCTGTGCGCTCGTCCTCCCCCCACACACAGCGGAGACAGGAGTTTGTCCTAGATGAAGCCTGTAGAGACAAGCTTGTTAAGTGGGGCTTGTCTGCCAGATGTATCACTGCCACGCCTCTAGGTGGCAGGGTGTACTGCTTTGCTGTGCCAGGTGCCACACATCAGAAGCAAACAAGCCATCCTGAGCTATCACCACTGATTTTTTTGGGGGAGAGGTGCTAAGCTCAAATTCATTTGTATATGAGTCATCCACTGTTGAATGGCAACCCTGGTCCCCGAAAAGGTAAAGCCCTCTAAAGGGAGTCCTGGCCTCTGCTTTGCTCTCATACGGACCCTGTTTTCAAGCTGCGTGAGATGGGTGCTGGTCCGAAATAGCGCCTTTGATGCATTGGCTAGCTGCAGAAGCCACAGTTTAAATACATACGCAGTGGCCTGAGCCACCAGCGTCTCTGTCTGTATGAGGCAGCAGGGCTACGAAGGACAGTTGCATCCACACATTGCTTGTTTTGACTTAGTGTATCTGTTGGCCTTTGGAGGCGCTGGGTCAAGTCAAGATGACATCATACTTCTAATAGCTGCAGCTGTCCCTGAGAGTTCGCTGGAAAGAAAGCAGCGAAGATCCTGGGATGGAAGAGGAGTTGCGTGAGGGGCTCGAAGGTCAGAGTCTCTTCGAGGGTTCCCAGAGATGCATTCTCACACAGCTTCAGAGGAGCCATGTTATCTTAGGTGAAATCCCATAGGCAGTGGGCAGGTCCTCAGTCTAGGTAATTATTGTTTGGTGGGATGTGAGTTAGGGGTTGGTTTTCTGGATAGTTTTGAGAGTCTATCAGACAGAACCTGGCTGGAGAGAGAGGTGCTTAGACACAAACACGTCTCTGAGCCTATGGGTGAGCTTCCCCCTTGGGGAAGATGTTTAGCCTTACTAGTGGAATAACAGCATCCCTGTGCAATGGAAGCCGTGGTTTCCTTAAACACTCAGGTATGTTATGTCAAGATGTTTTTGTTATAATCCCAAGTGTGGGATTCTAGTTTGTTCACAGCTGATTATTGCTTAGCACAGAGGCATGGGCTTTGCCAGGTGGAATCGGTTGAATTCTAAGGACTTTAGGGGTATGAATATGATAGCCCAGAGGAAGAAGGCGTGGCCGCTTGGAGGAGGCAGAGGAGGACTGCTTGCTCTGCTTGCTGGCTTGCTGGTTACCGGACTTCTGGACTTCCTGACGACAGCTGTATGACCCTACCCATCAGGAAGAAGTAAAGAGGGCCATGTCCCTTTTCCTTTCCAGCCTTCTTTCTCCCCTACCTGGGGTTGGGGGGTTGGAAGGGAGGTAAAAGCTTTAAGGAACTCCCAAATAGAGTAGCATTTGGAAAACTAGTGCCTACACCCCTGCCTGATGGAGTTGGCTATATGCTATGCTGACCCAATGAAGCTTGATTTCAGGGTGTAGATGACCGCCCCTCCCCCGACCCTGCTGGCTTTGAGGTTTTGGTGGGGAGTGTCCCATGCCAGTGATAGGAACTATAAGAGTGCTAAAAGAGAAAACAGGGCCATGTGATGACATTTTCATGGTCTTGGCCATGGGGTTCCTCCTGTGTTCACTACTGTTGGGTACAGAGGAGACAAGGAACGCTAGGAGATACCATTGGCTCAGGAGTATAGACTTGGGGGTTACCCCTCCGTAGGGAAGGTCCTGGGCTACAGTAGTTGAGGATGTGTCTTATACTTGTGTTTGTTCACTATTGACTCCGTCTTCTTGCTGAGCAGAGTACATCCACCTTCACCTTTTGGGGAAGCTCATTGTGGCTCTCAGCTGTACGGTGGCTCTTGTCCTGTGGAATTCCTGCAAAGTTTCCGAGGTTCAGACATTTCTAACCATTAAGCTTCCAGGTCACCCTTCTCCAGCCATTTTCCAGCTGCTGTGATTGACCACCCCAATCAAGAGCTGCCCAAGGGCGGGGGTGTTTATTTTTATTTTATATGAATTGGTGTTTTGCCTGCATGTATGTCTGTGGGTGTCAGATCTTGGAGTTACAGTTGTGAGCTGCCGTGTGGGTGCTGGGAATTGAACCCAGATCCTCCAGAAGAGCAGTCAGTAGTCTTAACTGCTGAGCCACCACTCCAGCCCTGGGAGGGGGTGTTTATCTGTGCTCACAGTTGCAGGATGCAGTCCACCACAGCAGGGATCACAGCGGCAGGAGCGTGAGGCATCTGGCCACATCAGTCCACGGCTGGG